TTCAGGGTTCAGGGTTTTGGGGTTTCTGGGGTTTACAAACCTCAAGGTTTTGGAGTTAGGGTTTAGGGTTAGGGAGTCTGGGATTTTGCAGGATTTAGGGGAATTAGGGCTCATTCAGGCTTGATGATGTCGGGTTTAGGGGTTTGCAGTGTTGTGGGTTTTGGAGTTATGAAAACATCTCCCTAAACCCTAAACCCCAAACGCTAAAGCTAAAGCCGAGGCCCTAAACCTTGAACCCTAGGCCCTAAACCGAAACCGTCTTTGGGGGAATCACCCACTGAATTTGGGGCTCCTCTTGATGGTTTCGCTGCATGGCGGACACGACCGCCGTCCTGAACCCTCCCAGGCGGCACACAACTCGACGAGGGCTTGACGAGGGTTTGAGGACCTCTTTGACCTACTCAAGCCCCCAACTTTCATGCCTCAACATAGAAGGGTTTAGGGTTTAGGGCCTTGGGTACCCCCCCGGACCATAACTCCTGAGCCTTTGCAGCTTCACGACAGTTCATTTCCTGGAGGCCTTGTGCCGCGAACTGCACCAGGCTGGTGGGTGTCTTGGGGGCTCGTTGGTTAGGGTTTAGGGTTTAGGGTTTAGGGTTTAGGGTTTAGGGTTTAGGGTGTAGGGTTTAGGGTTTAGGGTGTAGGGTGTAGGGTTTAGGGGGCTCGTTGGTTTGAAGCGGGCGCGAGAAGCCGAGAATCCAGACGATTCCATTGCTTTGTCTCGTAGCTTCATCATGACGGGATGCCGCCGCCTCAAACCCTAAACCCTAAACCCTAAACCCTAAACCCTAGATGTGGCTCACTGTGCTGCAGGCGACCTTCACGAAGCTGCGGGAAGAACTCCTTGAAGAGATTGGAAAGCTGGCTGCCCCGGACGATCCAGCCGTCCTCGAGGCTCTAGCGACCTTTCTCTTGCAGTCCGAGTCCTTGCTGAAACTGCAGGGTGACTTTTCAACGCTGCGAGCTCTGAAGATCTTGAGCCAGCTGGATCAGAGCGAAACCTTCCTCCGGCAGGGCAGACGGCACCTTTTGCGGGCTCTGGCGTCGACCTGCTCATCCGGTTGCTGGGATCAGCAGACACGGAAATGCTTGATCACGCTGGCCAAACAGCAGGGGGGGATCGACCATGAAGCTTTGGTCGAGCTGTGCCAGGGGTTGAGGTGTCAGAATACAAAGACCAGGCGATCTTGCTGCAAGATCTGGGCGCAGGTCGAGAAGAAGGAGCCGCAGCGTGCGCGAAGACTGTTGCTAGAGATGATCGGTGGCGACGAATACGCATGGGCGAAGCGAGCCGCGATCACTCTGCTTGACCTCGGAGAAGTTCAGAAAGCCGACTCTGTGTTAGAGGATGTCCGAGCCATCCTTCTCCGGGTTGCCGAGGACCTAAGCCTCCCGTTGCCACTGCGCTCGGAGGCCCTGGGTGCTCTCAGGCCCTTGGCGCGCGGTGACGGCCGGAACGGCAAAGCCGTGCGTGCGGCTGCGCTGAGTTGCATCGACGAGGGCGACGCGGGGTTGGTGCTGAAAGCGCTGGAGCTCCTAGCCGAGGAGCTGCCGATCCCCTCCAGCTGCCTCGAAAGAGTCCTTCGGAGTTCGGACCCGGACGTTCTGCTCTTTGCGCTCTCCGCTTTTCTGGGCCTTCCGGACGGAAACCTTGGTGCCTCACTTTTGGAGCCCTTGATACACCACCGCTGCCTGGACGTGGCCGTCACTTCGACTCGGGCTCTCGCCCTTCTGCGGGGGGACCGGCTCTCTGCCATCGCGGCCCTTCAGCGAGGTCACCGGGCGGGGCTTTGTTTTGGGATTCTTTTCTTTTGTGTCAGGGATTGAATAAGCCTTCTAAATATCAGGGGCTTATCATGTGCGCGGGTGTTTGGAGTAAGAAGACGCGCATCTCATGGGCTCGTCTAGCGTCCAAGCCCACCCTAGGCTTCCGGCTCTCTTGGCCCCACAAAAAGTCTGGCTATGCCCCGAGCCCTGAAATTATGAGACACTAAAAATATCGTGCGAACCTTGACACAAGAAATACCTTAAACTGTAAACTCAAATAGCTTAACTAAAGCAACCCTTATAGTACCCGTTTTGTATATTCCTTATAGTGTCCCTTTTGCTATCGGTTAGAGAACCCTGAGCCTAAACTCCAAACCCAAAGCCTTTAACCGTTATGGTAGCCCTTATAGTAAACCTATCGTAAGAGAGCTCAACCCTAAACCCGTAACCCCCTGAACCCTAAACCCTAAACCCCAATATAGGGGCCTGAATAATTACATTTGCTATTTTGCAGTTTCCTTATTATAACTATAGCATAGTATGCCCCAAAACCTTATTCTATTTCCTTACCTAGGCTACTTTGGGGTTCCTTATGATAACTATAGCATAGTATACCCCCACAACCCTAGTCTACTTACTAAGGCCCCTACATTAAACCCTAAACCCTAAACCCTAAACCCTAAACCCTTAAACCCTAAACCCTAAACCCTAAGCCTGTTCACCCGGTTAGCGGCGATGATAACCAACTCCATTTATCGCCCGCCAGATGAACCGCGTACAGTTCCACCTGCTAATGAGCCGATGCACCTGCACTACAGTGACTGGGCCAGGCGATGGAGGAGCATGATCACCGAAGTTGCCCAAGCCGCTGTGGACCACGCGGACAGGGAAGCTCGTCGAGCCCAGGAAGTTCTCCGCGAACGAGAAGCACATCTCCTTAGAATGCACCAAATACGTGGGGCGTACACCAGGACCTGCCCCCAGAGGCCACGTGTTTCGCAGTAGAGTTCCGCCGCAGCCCCTCCATCTCATACCGGGAGTCCTTACTACTCATTATGGGATGACAACGCCCTTTGACGAGCAGGGCAACCCCGTCACTCCGGTCATACCGGCCACGCCAGTCACTCAGCCTGGAATACCACGCACGCCGAGCTGGGAGGAGTTGCAAGAGACGGACAGGATCCTTGCTGAAATCATGGGTGGCCCAACTACAACGAGTTCCTCGACCACTACCACGACACCTTCAGGTGAGACTCGGCCCCGGGGTGAGGAGGACGGTGCTACGGAGGACGTTGTGGGACCGGAGGTGCCAGATGTAGCGCCAACTGAGGATTTGAGTTTGGAGTTTGAAGAGGTGAACTGGACTGTCGATGGTGAACTAGAATCTGGAAGAGGTGATACCAGCTCTGGGATGAATGCAGACACGCTTGGCGACCATGAAGATGATTACACAACGGGGCTGGGGGTGGCAGACGATCATTGGGACGAAATCCATGAGGAGGAGGTACCGGAGCATGATCCAGTGGATGAGATTCCAGGCGCGGGAGTTGGCGATGTACCTGCCTTTCATGGTGCTGGGTTGACAGAAAGGGAGCTGCAACTTGCTCACCACATTGCGGGGCTTGTAGTGGCTGAAGTCTGGCACCTGCTACGCGCGAACGGAGTCCTTGCTGGCCCCAGCCCTCAGGTTGACCGGTATCGGCTGCCGCGTGGTGGGGGAGGCAGGGTTGGCCTGGGACGGCCTACACCACCATGGAGGATGCACCCGAGACCGTCAACCTCACCCTACAGCAGAAGCCCGCGGCCTTCGGCTCCGTCTTCTACAAGGCCAGCAGTACCTGCCCCCTCCACGCTTCAGCCCGGGGACCCGGGGTGGACTTTCCAACATACCTGGGACTACGTTAGGTTGCGTCGTGGTCTTCGCGGTGAGGAGCCCACTTTCAGAGAAACTCACCTCTGGGGGATCCTTGCTGGTCAGGTGGGCAATCCAATTTCGGGTTTTGGGCTCACAGATGTCCCTACGGAGGGTGAGGCGGTGTCCACGAATGCGGGGGCTATGCAGAACGTGGATGGCGATTCACGGGAGGGCGCGGACCGCGATGTGATGGATGGGGAAGAGCCAACAGGTGTCGGTCCAGAAAGTGATCTTCCAGATCTTGCCCTTGCTCCTCCGTCAGCTGTACCTGCCCTACTACCTCTTCCAACTGGGGTGTCTGACGATGGAGTGTCTGAGCAGGTGGGTAGCTCGTTGGATGTGCCCGGTGATGCTGACGATACTACGGTTGTGAATGTCGTGAATGTGGTGAAGGCTGCCGCTGGTGGAAATGTTGAATGAGAGGCTATGTTTCACTAGTGTAGGCCTCGTGAGGCTGGGATGGTCGTAAATTCCGCTCCATTGCACTTAAAAAAAAAACCCTAAACCCTATATTCCCTATTAAACCCCTAAAGACCAGGCGGCTTTTGGCCCGAGACCCGGGAAGCCGTCCGAAAGGCTCGCGAGGAGGCGCTCCAAAGCCTCGCCCAAGGCGGCAGTGGCGGAGACTGACGGGCACTTTTTTCTTTTTTGGTTTAGGGTTTGGGGTTTCGGGGTTTAGGGTTTAGGGTTTAGGGTTTAGGGGTCTTGGTAGAGTTTTACGGGGCTTGGCGCAGTTTTAGATAGGTGTTTGGCAGGTTTGGGGGTTTGGAGTTTAGGGCCCACTTGGGCTTTGACCTCGGGTAATCAGGGAAGTATGTCATTATGTCTTAAGGTATACTTGGGGATAGCATTCAGGCTTTTTGGTGGAAGTTGGGGCATGGTTAGGGGTCCGGGGTTTAGGGGTCCTAGCACTTCCGCATGCTAGGCTGCTAGACTTCAGCACACGATGAACCACCGTCTCAGTTCTTGCTTGTTGCTTAAACCCTAAACCCTAAACCCTAAACCCTAAACCCTTAAACCAGGTTTCTTTCTTGTTATTGGGCTGAAGCTTGCAGCTTGCACCCAGGCCCGAAAGACTATCGGGGCCTAAATATCTACCTATACTATTTTGGGGGGTTCCTTATTGCAAAAATGGGGTATAATGGGCCCCAAAACCCTATTCCAATTATTATAAACCCTCAACCCTAAACCCTAAACCCTAAACCCTAAACCCTAAACCCTAAACCCTAAACCCTAAACCCGCCAGTCCTCAGGGTCCCAAGTTGAAAGCCCGACATACGTGAGCCAATTAGTCCTGAGAAAATAGGCGCCATTCCTAAAGACTCTAGGGTTTAGGGTTTAGGGTTTAGGGGTTTAGGGTCGGTTTGATCGGGTCGGTGGCTCCGAAGGAGCACCGGCACCCGTCGGCTTTCGACGTTATCCCTTCGATGTGCGGTTTCGCATCCGGAGTTAAAGGTTTCAGCTCTCCTGCCTCTAGGGTTGAGGGTTTGGGGGTTTAGGGTTTTGGTCGGAACTTTGGGTTCACACATAGAGGTTGGGCGTTTCGGGCTATCAGTTAGCTCCATCGACTTCCCGGCAAACCCTGAACCCTGCAGCCTCAAGCCCTAAACCAACCGTAAACCCCATTGGCCTGCAGCTTAGGTGCACGACTGTGGTTGGGGCTCACTCTGTAGGGTAGCTTGCAAGGAGCACACAACCGCCCGACGCCACCAATAGCTCTCTCCTAGGTCTGCTGAGCCTGGATGCCTGGATCCTTCCTGATTTTTGTAGACCCTTGCATGCACGTTCGCAGCTTCGCATGGACGATTCTAGAAGCCCTAAACCCTAAACCCTAAACCCTAGACCCTAGACCCTCAACCGTTTATACCCAAGACGCAAGACCCTGAATTCTAAGTTGCGGGTCCCGGCGGGAGCCTGCTGCTGTGCTGCAATCTGCCCTGAGAGCCATCTTCCGAGCCTTGAGCCCCCACTACCTATTAGGTTTGGGGTTTAGGGTTTAGGGTTTAGGGGTTTGGGGTTTGGGGTTTAGGGTTTAGGGAAAGCCTTACCCCTGAACCACTATACCCTAAACCCTAAGCCCTGAAACCTAAACAT